CAAACAGTTATATTTATCGAATCCGCTATTTACCATCCGCTACCCACTTTCCGCTATCCGCCATCCGCTATCCGTTATCCGCTAACCGCTAACCGCCACCCGCTACCCGCTACAGCTATTCGCTACCCGCTACCCGCTACCCGCTACCCGCTATCCGCTGAATTTTAACCGCTGTACCAAACAGGCCCAGCCCGAAGGGCTCGGTGTGGGAATTGTTTGGTTTAATTGTAATTGATGATAAAAATGTAATAATAAGTAGAGTATCCATTCTTGAATTAAATGAAATTTCATTGTAATCTTAAATGCATGAGGCAACTAAATCACATCCAAGAGAGTAATAGATACAGTAATAAAATTTTCAATAAAAGTTGTTGTTTGGACCTAAAGTATTAGCTAAAATCCCTTCGTTTTTCAGACTCGAGTTCTGGCTTTTTGTTTTGTTTTTTTTTTTTTTGGTTCAGTTTGAAAAAACTGCAAGAAAGTCTGCTGTAAGTAAATTACCGAAACACTCCTAAATAAATATAATTATAATATCTAAATTTTTAATTAAAAAATTTTAAAAATAATTACTTTATAATACATAGAGTATTAAATAAATTTCCATATTAAGAAGTAGAGAAGGGAAGATTTAGAATAAGATCTCGGTTCACCCCTAAACCTTAAAGCATTTGGATTAATTATTTAAAATTTTGAATTCTATCAACGTTTTGAAAAATCCTCATTCTCAATCCCAAAATAGTAAATTGTTTAAAAGAAAAAAAGAAAAAAAAAAAGAAAAGTGATCTGTATATGCTTCAAAATGAATCGGAAGGAATGACCACCAATCGAATGCCAGTCGGCCGATGATTTTAAACAAACAAATGGCAAAGGTGACACCGGCCAAAAAATTAGAACCCGAAGGCGAACGATCCCGCACGATGAAGCGCTCTGCATCGCTCGAAGTATCTTAAATGTGAAGCCTTTTGTCTTTCGGACGGTTCAATTCAACTCATCCAACCATCTGTCATAATCATGAAGGACAATTTTTCTAACCAAAGAGACATTTCCTTATCTCTGTTGTCATCCACCTTATGTTATAATTAGAAACTTATATTGGATCAAGATTCGGATGGTTCCTCACCCTCATTGTCCTAGCATTAGTTTGGTGGGCGTCCGTGCAGCTGGGGCTAGTTTAAAGTGAGAAAATTTGACATCATTAAAATAGTTAAAATAACAAAAAAATTGTTAATTAGGTATAAAGAAAGTTATTATCAATTAATTTTAAATTAAATATAAATTTTAAGTTATTATCAATTTATTTACTTGATAACAACACTAAAATTAATATTAATTTTTATGTTTTTTTATATTTTTTTAATAAAAAATATTTTTATTTAATAATTAACTTAAGGATACATATTAAAATTTTTTTTAAAAAAAAATCCATTTTAAAGCCCATTTTCGGTCAAGTCCAGCTGTGAAATGGGTCCTGGATTGATCCGAATGGGTATTCCCAATCCACAAGCAAAATCCAGAAGCAAAGGCTTATTTGGTGCAACTTGTGGGAATGATTTTTTGGTTTCAAAAGCATAATTTGCACCAAACATTATAATTTATGAAAAATATTACAATCTTTTACAAGTTAGGTTTTTCTTTTTCATATTATTGCAAATCTCATAAGTACCAAATTGGTATTTTTATTAGATCTTTTCATTTAGATTTTAATGAAATTAACACAATATTTCTATTTTATCGTTATTTTTCTTTTTATTTATAAAAATAACACTTTTACAATAATTTTTTTTCAATAGAACTTCTATTAAAAACTTCAGCTAGTCCACCAAATGAACACTAAATCGTGCAAAAAATTAGATTCATCGTTAGGTCTTTCATCACGTCAAAAGATGTATCTCCAACGATATTCAAAATTTGCATAAATCCCAATGCCCATAATACTCCAAACGAGGATTAAGCATATAACTCCATACCAAAAAATTTAGAAAAATATGCAAATAGCAGCTAAGAAATCAATATTATTAATAATAAAATAGGCTTTAAATAAAGCATTGATGGCGGACACTAAAGGGGCAAGTTCGGGTTTAGATCTGGGGTACCCTAACTTAGGGATGGCAACGGGTCCTCACAGGAGCGAGAACCCCCTCCTCATCTCCATCCCTACCAATGGCAGGTACGAGGATCCCCACAGGATTTTTTGTGAAGATTCAAAAATAGCCTCTGCGCCCATACCCGTGGGAAATGATAGGTCCCCACAGGCATTTGTAGCCTCCACCAAATAAAACTATCACTTGCTCCATTGCTTATTAATCAAAATTAACCTCAACATGAGTCTGTTTAAAGTCCGTTAGTTTTTACATTCATCAAATAAAACTAGCTCAAATAATCATATAAAGTAAAAATTTGAAACAAGACAAACAAGCAGTAAATATACACAGCCAATATATACATGTCAAACAGGTCTAGTGAGTCAGCAACAAGTTTATAAAGAAAAAAGGCATAAATTAACATATAAGTCCAACAAATCCAGCAAAAGTTTCATAAAAAAAAAAACCATAAATTGCAACTGTCATTAGCAAAGTTCATAAAAAAAAAAATGCATAAATTGCTACCATACATGTTTAGCAATAAGTTCATTAAGAAAAAAGCATAAAAGAGATGAGTTGCCGACGACTAGTTAAGAGATTGGAGAAGAGTCATCGAGAAGTGTGAGTAAGAGATGAGAGAAGATCAATGTTGTAGTGGTTGCATAATGGGTAGTGATGGTGAGAGCTTGAAAGGAATCACATATGAGAATTGAGGAGCAAAAAAAGAGTTATAGCACAGAGACATAGAGGAGACTAGAAAGGAAGAATCACAAATCTGAAATTGAAATATTTGGATAAGCCTTCTAAGGTTACCAATGCAAATTAAGCTAGGCAATTAGGTTTAGGAAAACTAAATTGACAAAAAAGAATGGACTAAACTTGACAATTGGATTTGGAAAACTAAAAAAAGAACGGATTGTAAAATTTAAATTGTATTGGTATTAGATTAGTTAATTAAGTTAAATAAGTAAAAATTAATTATTAATATATTTAAAAAAATATATAAATAAACATAAATTTATACATTCTTTTATTTTCTATGAATCTTCACATTTTTCCCCAGCTTAAGGAAATTTCATGTGAAATTTCACGAGGAAAAAAATGCCTTCATTCTCGTTACAGGAGGAAGAATATTCTTGAAATCTCCATCTTCACATAGAGGAATCTCTACGAGCTTTGCGGGTTGTGGAGCAAGTTGCCGACCCTACCCCAACCACAGGGTAATTTCCCAGATCCTCGCCAAGTGTGCCTCCCAACCCCCTCTGATTTGAGGTACACCTAGCAAAGGAGAAATCAAGTGGAAAAACAGCAAGAAACGGCTTTAAGTGGCTGCCGATGTTTGCCGAAAAGTCACCAGAAATCTCACTTTTCCTGTCTCTCTTCCGTTTCTCTCTCTCCAAAACAGAATCCCACTTCCCTTTTCTCTACTCTCATCCATTTATAGCAAAAATAATGAAAACCCTAGCCTCAACTTATCCATTTATAGCAAAAATAATGAAAACCCTAGCCTCAACTTATCCATTTATAGCAAAAATAATGAAAACCCTAGCCTCAACTTACCCAAAGCCCGACCTACCATGAGCTATAAACCCAAAACTTTCAAATCCATGATGAAAGGGGCCTGATCTATAATCCAACGTCTTTTCTCTGGCTCGGATTCATCCGAATGGAGCTTGGTGCACCCTCACGGCCTTAATTCTCCATTCGGGAGTGATCTGCAGCAGCAACAGCATCGATCTGGTGATGGATGTGCAGATCGGTAGAGACCACATGAACTCAATTGAGTTCTAGAGAGAGATGTTCGCAGTTGTCCGCACATGTAGCTCTCGACGCTCGAAAAGTCGGAGGAAGAACCGAGAAAACCCAAATACATGGCTCTTCGGACCTCCCCAGCCTCACGACGCATGAAATCGATGAACGACAGGCGTAATATGAACAATGGGTTTTTAAGGTTTTTGGTTCAACTCCAAGAATTTCAATGTGGGTGGGCTGGCAGTTTGGGCTTGCATTTCAATTTTTCCAAAGTCCAATCCAATCAATGATATTTTCTTCAATTTGATCTTTTAGTTGACATCTCCTTAATTTCATGAAAATAAGTACCGGCTGCCTGCACAACAAAAATAAAGACTAATTAATTTAACCTTTTATATTGTTATTTATCTTTTAGTTGATATTCAACTCTCATTTCCTCTCCTCGAAACTAAACAGGCTCTTAGAGTCTAATCACAAATGATAAAAATCAACAACAGAGGCATATACTGTACCAATAAAAATCAAAATCAATTAGTGGATATAATCAATAATACCAGTTTCCATTCAAAGTAGTTAATTAAGGAGTTATTCAAACCACACAACTAAGCTAAGCATGTATGTTTAAGTTTTTTAACCTCATTTTAATACAAACAATTTAATAAATATCACTTCCACCATCTTTAAAAGTAGAGTTTTTGTAGATATCCGTGAATAAAACAATTTATAAGTATTTGTAAGGTTAGTCATACTAATAGACTACATAGTGAACACTGTTATTAAAAAAAATAAAGCATTATTGTCTAAAAATTAAAGAAAAGAGAAAACAAGTGCATCAAAAAAAAAAAAAGAA